GTTGAAAAATATCCTCCTTCAGCGAGCAAGCGAGCGATCGCCTCTCCGGACAACTGCCCTGGCATATAGATGAGGTCAGATGGAAGCTAGCATGGTGTTGTGAATGTCGCTCGCCCAGAGAATCCCACCAGCTCTCTAGGCATAGGTGGTGGTTTAACGAGATTTGTCCATTCTCTGCCCAAAATCCCTCCTTCCCCTGCTCGGGGGAGAGGCTTGCCACTGTTCCCTGAATACGCACCCCCTTCCCCCAGGCGACCGGAAGCCAACCAGGAAAAATGCCGACCCCATGCTCACCCCGCCAACCATCCCTGTTACAAAACAATACAAACCACACTCTGCCTCCAAATTCGAAGCATGCGAAACTATCCCCGATACGCCCCCCCCCGCCCCCACCATCCCTGTCAAAAAAAAGGCAAAATACACTTTGGGGCAAAGTCTTGAGTCAGGTTCGTGAGGCCTGCGAGCAATTTGTATGGCTCTTTGACAGGGACGGCGGGGGGGTAAGCATATTCCCTGATGTGCGCAGGGCCACCACCCCTGCCAACAAACAGAACAAAATGCACCTCGCGGCTACATCTGGATCGTGCGCGGCCACCCCGCGATCACTGTCAAGCGGTTTTTGGCAGGGACGGCGGGGGTAGTGGCGTATGGCCTGCTGTGCGCAGGCCCACCGGACACAATGATGGGCATGGGTTTTCGACAAGGATGCTGGGGGCCGGCATGTTTCCCGATGTGTGCTGTCACGTGCGCAGGCGCACCTGACACACTCTGCACGCACGTGCCCCGAACGTGGCGCACCTGGCGCGGCTGGAGTATGCGGCACACCTGGCGCACGTGGAGCAGGAGGCGCATCTGGCGCACCAGGCGTAAATGGCACCCTCGGGCCCCAGGGGGGCCTGGCGCGCGTGGCGTGCCTGGCACGCGTGGCACACCTCGCCCCAGCGTCGCGCACATGGGCTCGGTTTTGGTTCCCAATAGCTGTCCATCCAAAGGCGACTGGTGAACATGCTGAGGATCGGGTGCTACTTGTATGTTCGGAGGACGGGTGCGAGTGAACTAGACGGCTTGCTATCTAGGAGGGTGTCTTGATTACTGTTCCCTGTTAAATAAACCCCCTCTCCCAGGCGACCGGCAGCCAACCAGGAGCAATGCCCGCCTCCAAATTCGGAGCGTGCGCAACCAAGCCGATGCGGCCCGCCCCCACCATCCCTGTCAAAAAAGAACACAGGTTACACGTTGGGGCAAAGTCTTGAGTCAGGTTCGTGAGGCCTGCGAGCAATTTGTATGGCTCTTTGACAGGGACGGCGGGGAGGTCATGCATGATGTGCGCAGGGCCACCACCCCTGCCAACAAACAAAACAAAATGCGCCTCGCGGCTACATCTGGATCGTGCGCGGCCACCCCGCGATCACTGTCAAGCGGTTTTTGGCAGGGACGGCGGAAGTAGTGGCGTATGGCCTGCTGTGCGCAGGCCCACCGGACACAATGATGGGCATGGGTTTTCGACAAGGGTGCTGGGGGCCGACATGTTTCCCGATGTGTGCTGTCACGTGCGCAGGCGCACCTGACACACTCTGCACGCACGTGCCCCGAACGTGGCACACCTGGTGCGGCTGGAATATGCGGCACACCTGGCGCACGTGGAGCACGTGGCGCACCAGGCGTACCTGGCACCCTCGGGCCCCAGGGGGGCCTGGCGCGCGTGGCGTGACTGGCACGCGTGGCACACCTCGCCCCAGCGTCGCGCGCATGGGCTCGGTCTTGGTTCCCAGTAGGTGTCCATCCAAAGACGACCGCTGAACATGCTGAGGATCGGGTGCTACTTGTATGTTCGGAGGACGGGTGCGAGTGAACTAGACGGCTTGCTATCTAGGAGGGTGTCTTGACGCCTCCCCCGCCCCCCTCCCCTGGGCGTGGGAGGGGGTGGACCACGAGGCGCTAGAGACCCCGAGATCGCCCAAGATGGGTCCATGAGGGCCTCAGGGACCCCAAGATGGCCTCCAAGATGGCTCAGGATAACTCAAGATGGTTCAAGACAGCCTCCGACGCACATCCAAGAGGCCTCAAGATAGCCCCAAGACGGTTTCAGGTGCCCTCCGAACCCTCCAAGGACCCCCCAAGAGGCAAAAGTGGCCCCGACACCTGAGGAAAATTGATGACGGTTGCCTTCTCGACTTATCGCTTCCGATGGGCCTCGGAGGCTTCAAAATGGCCCCAAGATGGCCTTCAAAGAGGGACCCAAGCGGGCTCCAAGACGGCCCCAAGAGCGCACAAGAGCGCCCCAAGACGGCCCCAAAACGCCATTTGTGAGCCTCCAGGGGGGGGGGGGGGGCTAAATTTGCGCTCCTCCCCTCTTTTTGATCAGTGAGCCCAAACATGTTTCAAGAGGACACTCCCCAAAGAGCCCTAAGAGGGCTCCGAGACCCCCCAAAAGGGCCCCACGAGTGTCCCAAGTGGCTCCGCGAGGACCCCAAGAGAGACCCAAGATGGGCCCAAGAGACCTCCGAGAAAACACTTCCAAGGAGTTTGTTGCACAGCATGCGTCTACACTTCCATGATCAAGGCAACTCGCCTGGCGATGTGTTTCTGGATGGGCTGGTGGGGATACTTTTTGGTTCGCGGGCGCGAGAAGCGGGTCGGACGCTGGGCAAGCAGGGGCAAAGGTGGGGATACATTTTCTGTGGTCTGCGGGCTCGCGAAGGTGGTCGAACGCCGTCCAAACACTAGTCGGGCCGCGACTAGGCAGCACGAAAAGAAAGGCAAGCGAAGCGAGCGCGCGGGCAGCCCCACTCAGAAGAAGAGCCAGAACAAAGGTGGGGATACTTTTTTTTGTTCCTTTTTGTTTTCGCGGCTCCAAGGCGAAGGACAGGGAGCGGGATCAACGTCCGGGGCGCGGAACGAAGTAAATTGGCCACCGAGGCGAGTGCACGTGCCAGGGACATAATGACCCTCATTAAGACGATTAAAAAAGGTGAGGATACGCGAAGCGTCAAGAATGCAAGCGAAACTGCGAGACGCGAACTGTGATGAAGGGTTTTTGTTTGTCTTGCCATCGACGGCAAGCCGCAGCCCGCGTGCACCCGAACGAGAGGGCGAGGCCCGCAGGGGAAACACACAGTGACGAGTCGGAGCCCGACTCGTCGTCGGGGGCTGCAGCACTCGCCTGAGAGCCTGGTGCTGCTCCGAGAGGGCGGAGAGACGTCGCCGCGGCGCGCCGCTCGCGGGCATCCTCCGGATCCACCCCAGAAGCGAAGCGAAGCGAAGCGCGCAAGTCCGCCGGAGCGGGACCCTTGAGGGTCGGCGCGGGCGGGCCGGGGCCCTTACACCGTGGTGCCGGAGATGTTCATACAGAAGCCGGGGCCCGAGGGAAGGGCGAAGAGGCTCGGGAAGCAAAGAGGGGTCCTCCTCCGCCTCCTCCTCCGAAAGAAGCCCGTGGGCCAACGTCCACCGGGACGCCGAGCACCTTGGGGAGGCGACCTTTGACATATACGCTTCCAGGCGTACTCTCCCCCCTGCGCTCCGGAGCGAGGGAACACGGTGCACAAAACTGTCCACCACAGGTGTGAAATCTGCAACTGATGCAAGCAACAAAGAAACTGCCACCGGACGCATCGAGACAGAGCGTCTTGTGCCCCAAGGCTGATAGCCTAGGAACATCGTAGCCTCGAATCCCGATGCCGACTCCACCGACCGACCGACCGAGCCCCTCGGAAGCCGCGCGAGCACTGCCAGAAACGACCCGTGCAGCACCAGGAGTGTCCAGGCCCAGCGGGGCGATGCACATCAGCACGCGGAGGGGGCTTGACTCGCTCGACGGTCGGGCCCATGTCAAGATTTGGCCACTGGGGCACAAGGTAAACTTGATGGAGGAAGAAGGGGGAGGAGGAGGAGGAGGAGGAGGAGGAGGAGGAGGAGGAGGAGGAGGAGCAGGAGGAAGAATAAACACCTTCCTCCCCTGATCCCTTCCTGGGTGTGCCCAGTGTCAAATTGTCTTGTCGCCCGCGTCCCATCAGAATGAACCCACCTCCTGCTCCTGCTCTTGCAGCTTCTTGCCCCTCATCGAATCCCCCGGGGGCGGATGCTGGGGAAACGACAGACGAGCGGGAGAGCGCCCTGATGCCATCGAATCCCAGAGCTGGAACTTCAGAGCGAGCGTTCAGGAGGACTCAGGAATCGAGAGGGGAAAGCGAAAAGAGGCCGGGAAGAGGACAAAAGAGAGGACGGGTAGAATCGAAGAGCAACTAATAATCTGAATTGGGCAAGACTTACGCCCGGTTCCGCCGACCCTGAAGAGGGGGACCAGGAAGCCACGGGAAGGCCGCGAGGAAGCCGAGGAGCGCACGAAGGCATGCCGACGATTGTCCCAGGGCGGCTTGAAGACTAGCTCGAGACTGGAGAAGAGACAGAACACCGTGCCACCTCCATGTCCTCTCAGGGGGCTTCTGGCATCTTGGGGCCTCCTGCGAGGTGCGACCGAGCCCAGCTGGCGTTCCGCATGTGCCTCCAATGGCCTTCTTTCTCCTCCTGCCCTTTCCTTTTCACCTCTGCCCGCACACGCACTTGCACTTGCACCCATGCCCGCACATGCTTCTTCAGAGAATCCCGCTCCTGTGCCTGCTCCTCTTCCTCCTCCTCCTCCTCCTGCTCCTCCTCGCCCTAGTCTTCCTCCTCCTGTTCCTCCTCCTCCTCCTCGTCCGTCTCTTCCTCCTTCTCCTCCTCCTTCTCCTCCCCCTCCTCCTCCCCCTCGTCCTCCTCCTCCTCCTCGTCATGCTCATACTCATCATCAACCGCCTCCATCGATGAATACGATTATTGCGTGAAATTTTTGGACGCCTCATCCAACTCCTCCTCCTCCTCCTCCTCCGCCTCCGCCTCCTCCTCCTCACCATCATCCTGCTTCCGCTTCACCTCTGCCTTCACCTGATAATCCCCCGTCTCTTCCTCATCTCCTCCTGCTATAATGCAACTGTCCTCATCATACCTGTTCCCCCTGAGATCACATTCTTAGTCATGTTGGACATGCCCTTGGTGTTGGTCCACCGACGCTCTGGCAGAGTAGCCACGGCACTAGGCATGATACTCTGGATCTCCTGCGCAGCTGGAAACTGGAGAACATGTTCATTGGCGCCGCGGCTTTGCATGGTACATGAATTCTGGGGCGATGAAACACGGATCGAACAGCATGAAGGTAATGATGGTGACGATGGCGATGATAATGATAATCACGCTGATGATGATGCTAAGAATGTTGATGGTGCTGATGACGATGATGAGGACGATGATTACGGTGATCACGATAACGACTGCGATGATGATGATGCTGATGGTGGTGATGATGATGGTGTTGGCGATGATGATGATGATGATGATGATGATGATGATGATGATGATGATGATGATGATGATGATAATAATGCTGATGGTGCTGATGACGATGATGAGGATGATGATTACGGCGATACTGATGACGACTGCGATGATGATGATGCTGATGGTGGTGGTGATGATGATGATGGTGATGGTGATGGCAATGATGATGCTGATGATGGTGGTTGTTCTGGTGATGGTGGTAGTGGTGATGATGATGTTGATGATAATGTGAATGACGGTGGCGAAGCTGATGATGGTGATGGCAATGATGATCAACATGATGATCAAGATGGTGATGCGGATGATGATGATGATGATGATGATGATGATGATGATGACGATGACGGTGATGGTGATGGTGATGATGATGATGATGATGATGATGGTGGTGGTGCTGGTGATGATAACGATGACGATGGTGACGATGGCGATTATGATAATAATGAGACCGGAGAAATCAAAAACAATCATAATATGTTGGTACTATAGGGATATGGGGCTATAAGGCTATGAGGATCTGGGGCTAAAGGGCTACAGGAGTATAGGGCTATACTGCCACAAGGCAGTTAGGCTATAGGGCTATAGGGCTATAGGGCCCCCGGGCTCCTGGGCGTGCCGCCCCCCAAATCGGCGCCATCCCTCACCTAACCATATGATACCGGAGAAAAAAAACAATCTTACTCTTTTTACGGCTATAGGGCTATGGGGCTATAGGGTTACAGGGCTATAGGGCTATAAGGCTCTGGGGTTATAGGGCTGTAGGGCTACAGGGCTATGGGACTATAGGGCTATCAGGCAATGAGATTATAACGCTATAGGGCTGTAGGGCTATTGGGCTATAGGGATGTAGGGCTATAGGGTTATAGGGCTATAGGGCTGTAGGGCTGTAGGGCTATAGGGCTATAGGGCTATAGGGCTACAGGGCTATAGGGCTATAAGGCTATAGGGCTATAAGGCTACAGGGCACCGGGGCACCCGGGCACCTGGGCACCCGGGCGTGCCGCCGAAATCGGCGCCATACCTCACCTAACCATATGAATCCGCTTGGACCCCTACAGAGGCAAGCTCTGATTGGGAAATGATGATGATGATGATGCTGATGGTGCTGATGATGATGATGGCGGCGGCGATGATGATGCCGATGCTGATGGTGATGACGGTGCTGATGATGGTGATGGTGCTGGTAATGGGGATGGGGGTGGTGGTGATGATGATGATGATGGTTACGCTGATGTTAATGCTGGTGTGGCTGGCGATGGCGATGCTGATGATGCTGAAGATGATGCTGGTGATGATGGGCTGATGATGGTGATGACGATTATGGTGCCGATGATGGTGATGATGGTGATGGTGCTGATGATGGTGATGTTGATCATGTTGATGGCGTTGAGGACGATGCTGGTGATGATGATGCTGGTGCTGATGATGATTATGATGATGATGATGGTGCTGCTGATGATGATGATAATGATGATGGTGATGGTGGCGTTGCGGTGGTGATGACGATGGTGCTGATGACGATGATGGTTGTGACGATGACGATGATGATGGTGAGGGTGCCGATGATGATGATGTTGGTGATATGCTGATGATGATGAACATGATGAAACTGATGATTATGACGATGATGATGATGATGATGATGGTATTGATGATGATGATGATGATGATGGTCGTGATGATGATGACGATGCTGATGGTGACGATGGCGATGATGATGATGATGATGATGATGAAGAAGATGATGATATGACGATGGTGGTGATGATGACAATGATGGTGAAGACGATGCTGATGATGGTGATGGTACTGGTGATGGTGATGATGATGACGATGGCGATGATAATGATGATGGAAATAACAATTATGATGACGATGGTGCTGATGATGATGGTGGCGGTGGTAATGACGATAATGCTGATGACGATGAAGGTGACGCTGGCGATGATGATGTTGATGATAATGGTGGTGATGGTGATGGTGGTGATGACGATGCTGATGACGATGATGGTGTGGCTGGCGATGGCGATGATGATGATGATGATGATGATGATGATGATGATGACGATGATTGTTATTTAAGATGCCACTGGTGACCACAATGATGAGAATCATGATAATCATGATGGTCATGACAATCATGATAATCATGTTGATGATCGTGTTGATGATGATGGCGATTCGGGTGATGATGATGCTGATGAAAATGCTGATGATGACGATGACGACGAGGATGAAGAGGAGGAGGAAGAGGACGACAACCAGAAAGAGGAGGAGGAGGATTAGAAGAGGGTGGAGGAGGAGAACGACGACGAGCGAACGGAGGAGGAGGAGGACACAGGACGCATCAAACGGCGAAGCATCCGAGAACGCGACGACGACTGTATAATACTGGGAGAAGGTGATAACACAACAGCCCTTCAGAGAAAACCAAGCAACTTACGGATTAGACTGGTAGGGTTGGGGGGCTTCGTGGGAAAGGGGTTACCGAGAGCTTTGATTTTGGCTGAGCCCAGGACAACTCGGGCCCCGCAAAGCCCACAGAACAGGAAGGACCCTGCCATGTGAATATGGTGCCCGTCGCACACGAGTAGACTCCCACCCGCCTCCGCACCCAAACTGGCAGCAGCAGCGGCATAGGCAGCCGCACCCTCCACCCCGGCATGCTGTCTCCAGCCGAGCCGCTCGGCAAGAGCAGCATGCTGGGGCAGCATCGGCCTGGGCTCACTTGGCCCCTGGCTAAAAACTTGCCGCTGGCTGGTGCCCGAGCAACCGCCAATCATGCCTGCACTGCAACGCCGAGGGACGTTATCGTGAGCGACAAAAGCCAGCTTCTGCCTCTCCTCCTTGGGCGGCCGTGGATGGGGTCGGGGCAGAGCCAGAAACATCTGGCCAAGCACAAATAATATGAACCACTCGGGCCAGAAGCTGGCATGACAACTTGCACTCTTGAGTGGCCTCCTGGAAGGACGCGGCCGCAACGTCGGCAACAGCAACATCAAGGGTTCCAAGCTTGGCGAAGAAATCCGCCCAAGCATTACCCGTGTGAACCTCCAAATTTCGCCAGCGCACGCTCCTTGCTCAACTACCCCCCACCCAAGCAGAGGTGCGCAGGAGTCCAGTGGAATTCGGGGCGCATAGCATGGTGAGCACAAGCACGGAATATGCTGCGCCAAATCGACCAGTGCGGGGCAACGCCATGCTCCAAGTTGGGATCCCAACCTTGCCGTTTGTGAGCAAACGAATTGACCACGAATCATGACGGGAGGCTGGTCTCCAGCTGGCCCCAGGAAAACAGCATCGAACCCAGCCCACCTTTCGGACTGCGGGGACCGACTGGATGCGCCCAGGGAACCCGCCAAACCTGGCTCTCAAAGGCCAGCCGTCCTCGGAGATCTCGACAACGCTCCAGCCACATCGAATGGCTTCGGGCACCGCACTGCGCAGCCCCGACACGTCAATGAACCTATACCTACCCCAGGGACCGTCCGCGAGACCCCAGGTGAGCACCGGCGGCCAGGGAGGGGGCACTTGGATGGGGAGCGAAGGAAGCCTGTAGAGGAATTGAGCGCGGTCTCAATCAGAAGGGCCGATGTTGACATCGTACCCTTTCTCCAGCAAGGTCTGCCTACGCGCCCAAACATATTCGGGAAAACCCATGCTGCCCGCCTCCTTCTCCCCAGACACGAAGGCACTCGAGCAATCATAGAGTTGGTGGCCCAATGTGCCGTGGGGGGCCTGGCAGAAAGTACAAGCAGCAGACGGGGCCAACGCAGCCTCATGCTTGCGAACTGGTGGCCACAACCCTCCAGACCAGAGCGCACGGAGCGATTCTTGTCGGCCACCCGCGGGGGGGGCCAGAATCGCGAGGCGTATCGCTCGAACCCATCGGTGCTCGGAACCCGTCGCTTCTGACCAGTGGAAGGGGACCCTGCGCCCGAGCCAACGCTCCACACCATCGCGCAACAAATTGCGGACCTCGCTCGGCGAGTACTCATACAGCGAGATATGGTCTCCGAGGGCGGAGGTGAGAAGGTGGTGAGCGGCCATGTCCCGCCCAATAATGCGAAGGGATAGAAGCACGGCAGACATCGGCCCAAAGCATTGCTTCCAGGTCCCCTCGGCTCCGAGTTTATCCCGGATCGTGCTCCAAGCCCTCATCAACATACTAGAGGAAGTCCTACCATCCCAGAGCCAACACGCATACCTGGCGACAAAGGGGACATGTGACATCTAAAGTGGGATCATACAGCCTATGCTTCTGCGTGCACATGTAAACTGTGAGGGAGGCCAGGCCAGGCCTAGCACCTACCACCAACTCCCCTGCAAAAGAACGGAGTTTAATGAGAGTGGAGTCAGTGAGGCCTACTACCCCAGCCCCATGGCTACCCGACAGCATAAAAACCGTGCGCCACAGAAACCGGACCTTCGCACCCCCAGCCCTCCGAAGGGCGCGAAGCCGCCCCCAACCTCCTCTCGAGAGCTCTGTGGGCGGTGCATCTAGCAGAAGTGTCGTGGCCAAGATTCCGCGCCCTCCGAGATGCCTTGAGCCTCAGCCTGGCCGCTCTCGACTTCACGGCACGGACTGCTTCCGTCGAGGACGAAAGATAACCAGGCTTGGAGGCCTGCAGAAGAAGCCCTAGCTTGCGGGCGTAGCCAGCAAAAACCGTGACAGCATTAAAAACAACTCCAGCATACTTAGCCAGGCTTCCTACCCACTGAAACGACACACCATCCATGAGGCTTCGGG